ATTAGTTGTCTGCCCACCTACATTAACAGGACATTGGTATCATGAAATATTAAATTATACTGACACATTAAAGCCTCTCCTATATTCTGGTAACCCTAAAGACAGAGATAGGTTGATATTTTTTAATAATATCGATGACTCTTTGTTTGCAATTATATTTTCTTTTTGCTAATTCAATTTATAATTATTTCAAAGGCTCCGACCAAAGATTCCTAACTACGACGTAGTCATCATGTCTTATGATATTGTGCGTAACGATATTGATGACTTGGCCAGTATACATTGGAATTATTGCATCTTGGATGAAGGCCACGTGATAAAAAATGGAAAAACAAAGATTACTAAAGCAGTAAAGTCAGTAAAGGCTAATCACCGACTAATATTATCCGGAACACCAATACAGGTTTTTATCTAGCTAACGTATTTGTTTTATTTAAACATTATTTATTTATTAGAATACTGATTGATAATATAGAACAATGTGCTGGAATTATGGTCGCTTTTTGATTTCTTAATGCCTGGATTTTTGGGCACAGAAAAACAATTTAACGAAAGATTCGGAAAACCAATATTGGCCAGTAGAGACAGTAAAAGCTCATCTAAAGAACAAGAGGCCGGTATGTAGCATGTTAACCTGCTTATTTAATTTGTATAATAATTCATGTTTACTTTAATTTAGGCGCGCTTGCACTTGAGGCTTTACATAAACAAGTGTTACCGTTTTTACTGCGTCGATTGAAAGAAGATGTATTGAGTGATTTGCCTCCTAAAATTATTCAAGACTATTACTGTGAACTTAGTGATTTACAGGTTGGATAACATGAAACAAAGTTTATAAGATTTACGTAGTACCAATGGACATCAGTTCTGATATAATTGTCACCATTTTTATAGAAACAGTTATATGAACAATTCGCTAAATCGCAGGCTAAAAGTAAAGTTGAAATTGAGCTTGAGACGGAGATTGCAGAAGATGAAGGAGAAAAAAAGAAGACACACACACACATTTTTCAAGCGCTACAATATTTACGTAAACTATGTAATCACCCTTTACTTGTTGTCAATAATAAGCATCCTCAATACCGTACGGTTATGGACCGACTCAAATCTACAAAGACTTCATTGCACGATTTGGAAAACGCTCCAAAGTTGCTTGCATTAAAGTAATTACAGTTTTTTTTTTACTTGTTCGCAATATATAATTGTTATATTAATTCAAATTCATGCTACAGACAATTATTACATGATTGTGGTATTGGAACGTCCCAAGATTCTGAAGATTCACTTGGAGCTGGTGCCGTAAGCCAGCATCGTGCGCTTATATTTTGCCAACTTAAGACTATGCTTGATATCATAGAAAAAGACTTGCTTGAAACTTACATGCCTTCAGTAACTTACTTACGTCTAGATGGATCTGTGGATGCTAACAAACGACACGGCATTGTACAACAATTCAATAAAGATCCATCAATTGACGTCTTGCTACTTACAACACATGTTGGTGGATTGGGCATCAATTTGACGGCTGCGGATGTATGTGTCAATTATTGTTACGACTATGCTGAAATTTGGATATTTTTTTATATGGAGTTTTAAATTTTTTTTAGAGATTTTTTAGCCTTTTTTTATAGTTAGGTTAATAAGATTTATGGTTAGAGTTGTCATTAGAAGAGTACATGTTGGTTTTGGTAGGATTTATGCCTTCAAATAGGGACCCAAATTTCAGCATAAGTCGCAATAATTGTTATTAATTATTGGTCAATCTACATATCTGACTTTTTTTTGTTGTAGATCGTTATTTTTGTGGAACACGATTGGAATCCGATGAAAGATTTGCAGGCAATGGATCGTGCTCATCGTATCGGACAAAAAAAGACTGTCAATGTCTATCGATTAATTACCAAAGGCACGCTAGAAGAGAAGATTATGGGGTACGTCAAAACCTGTCCATATCAATACATTCTGAATATTTAATTAATGTATATATATATTTTTTTTTAGATTGCAAAAATTCAAGCTTAACATTGCAAACTCTATTGTTAATCAACAAAATTCCGGGTTGCAAAGTATGGACACTGATCAAATTCTTGATTTGTTTAACGTAACTTCAGATAGTAGTAAAGGCGCCCAACGTAAAAGTGCAATGATCACAGGCGATGGTTCTGGTTTTGGAAAGGGAAAGAAAATTTCGCCAAAAAACTTGGTTGATGGATTGGAAAATTTATGGGAGGCTTTAATGTGTCAGTATAATTTAATATTTCATGATACCAATGTCCTGTTAATGTAGGTGGGCAGACAACTAAT